CTTAAAAATGGTTAAAATGAAATATTTTTTGTTTTCTAAAGAAAGGCAGGCTGCCACATGGAGTGCTTCATTTGGCTGTGTCTGGAGTCTTGCAAGCTTGACTACCTTACGTTTTCCTATAAATGGACCTTGAAAGCTTGTTTGAAGGTTCTAGTGAGTGTGGCTACTCCTATACCCTTGACCAGAGAATGATCCTCTTCCATCAGGGAAGGTTGTCCTCTGGGTGCACAGCTTTGGGAGGGATACACATGGAGTGGTGGCGGAGGAAGGAGACACCTTCCTACCCAGACAGATCAGCTGAATCAACCTTGGTGATCAGTAGTGGTCATCAGTAGGGTGAGAGAGGTCACAGCCAGATTGGCCCCATATCCTAAACTGAAATTTTTTATTTATATTTTACCACAGTGAAATAATTGAGAAGGACTACCCTCTACACTCAGTTTTGCTTTGTTCCCTCCACTTTCTCTCTGACATTTCCAGGATCTCTCACCATGTTTATAATTAAAGATGGAAATGACTGCCTGACTTTCTAGCCTTCAGATAGGCCAAATGGAATTTAGGTTATTTCCTTGTTTCTTTAGTGTTTTGGTTGTTTACCAGTCTTTACTTTTTTGCCTTTTTGTTTGTTTGGAGAGAGTGCAGGAGGAGGGGCAGAGAGAAGAGAATCCCAAGCAGGCTCTGTGCCAGCAGCCCGTAGCAGCCTGATGGTAGGTCTTGATCTCATGAACCGTGAAATTATTACCTGAGCCAAAATCAAGAGTCAGATGCTGCTTGACCCTGTGTGTCTTGCCTCCATGCCCATAGCTGTGGTTTCATCATGTGACCTCACCCCCTGGCTCTCTGATCTAAGGAGGTGAGTTATAATCTGAACTGAGTCACTCTCTTCTGAGAAGCTAAATAAGAGTCAGAAAATCTTTCTAGGTAGCTAAGCGCAAAAGCCACTCCGACTTGGGGCTGAGGCCACAGTTTTTCATTTATGAACTGAGGAATCAGTGTGTGTTGACAGGCAGGGTGGAGGAAGGTGTAGTGCAGTGAAGAAAATGCAGTAGCTCAGCGAGATCTTGGTTTCTCAGTTTTCTGATTCTTTTAATTTCATTGGTTCAGGGCCACACAAGTGCTTCCCAGTTCAACATGTTCTCCAGAAAGAGATCTTGCCTGCCTGTGGCCAGGGGACACACACAAGGAAATTGGGGCCTATGACAGGAACCTGTTGGGCAAAGGTGGGCACTGGTCAAGATGACAGCAAGGACCTTGAGTGTGAGCCCTTGAGAATCTTTCCCAGCAGGGCAGGAGCTTGTTCTGGGAGCTTGGGGGGAACCTACAAGAAACCTAGTGGGTGGGACCTGGGCATCTTCCACCAGCCCTGGCAATACCATTTGCTTCTAACAGCAGCACAGTGTAGAAATTATAGTATGGATTCTGGGGCCACAAGGCTTGGGGCCAGATCCCAACTCTACCCTTTAATTATTCTTGAGTGTGCTCCTCTGTTCCTCAGGTTTCCCATCTACAAAATGGGGACTGAAACAGTGTCATAATTATAAGGATTAAATAGGAGTACAACACTCTGAGCAGTTGGCATGTCTGAGAGCTGTCTATGTGGGTGTTACTGCTGCTGCTAACTATAGTTCTGGCATCTTCTCTCTGGTCCCTGTTAGTGTCCTAGAGTTCTTACGGACTCCCCTTCTGCTGAAACAACACAAGAACTTGTCTTTCCCCCATGATCTCTTTTTGTCTTCCCTTGTGCTCAGGGTTTGTATGGGGTTGGCTACCTTTATTGTGGAGTATCTAAAAGAAACTATAGGTTTGTCCTCCACCAGGTGGCCTGTTAGAAATAAGCTCCCATCTCACAGAGTGTGGGTTTCAGTCCTTCTTGATCTGGTCCACTGTCCTGGGCCATTTACTGCTCTTCCCTTGCCAGTCTCAGTCGGTGACATTGGAGACTCTTGATCTTGGGGTTGTGAGTTCAAGCCTGACCTTGGGTGTGGAGATCCCTTAAAAAATCGTTCAAAAAAAAAACAAAAAAAAAAACGAAAAACCTCTCACTACATTTTGAGTATATCTATAGTTCCCTCCCTCAGCTCCTCCAAATCTTAGCTCAAAAGTTACCTTCTTTGGAGGGCTACCTCACCGCATGGAGCCCAACCTCTCCTTCCCACCTTATGCCCCTTTTAAAATTGTCACTTAAAAAGTAATGTCTACTCCTAATGTGGGGCTCAAACTCAGGAGCCTGAGATCAAGAGTTGCATGCTCCGGTGACTAAGCCAGCCAGATGCCCCTCTCATCTCTTAACAGGCTGTGTTTACTGTTTGTTGGTCATCTTGCTGATGACAGGGCCTGGTGGTGGGGTGAACACTCCACGATGGGTGGTCGAATGGGTGGATGACAGCATCGCATGCTGATCCTGGTGTAAGAAGTCTTGAGAGGCAGGAGTTGAATCCTGGTTGTGTCACTCACAAGCTGTGTGATTCAGCACCTTTTAACCGGAGTCTTAGTCTTCCCATCTGTAGCATGAGACCTACCTCTAGTGGGTTCTTTGTGAAGAGTTAAAAGGAGACACTGTGCTGAATGAGCCTCAGTTGCCATTCTCTCTCGTTCTTTCTGGTCCTTTCCTCCAAATCTATTGAAAGGAGTCTCCCAAGCCAATATGATTGCAGTGAACGTTTTCATTTACTTTGGATTATAGGTCATTATAAATATTAACAAGTAAGACTTAAAAAGGACACCTTCGAGTAGGTCAGACGAAAGTACAAAAATTGTGTGTGGGGCTGCAGTTTAAGGACATTTTCTGCAGCCGCCACGTGGTAGCAAAAACGGTGTTAAGCAGTGCACGAGTCTGCGAGTCTGCGTCGAAGACAGCCAGAGTCCATGCATTGGGAGGTTCTCTCGGTTTGAGAAAAAACAAACGGTAGCACATGCACGGGCCGGGAGGTGCAGTTCCTCGCTCTTGCCGCTAGGGGTCAGGAGGTTACCGCTTCAGGGTTGGAAGACGGGCCCGTCTGGGATTGATTGGCTAGTGGTTGCGGTGGGAGGCGGGGGTGGAGGAGGATGCAGCGTGCTGTCGGGCGACTTCCTGGTTACCCACGCCAAACTTTGGAATGACTGTGTGATGGTGGGTGGTAGGTAGGGGCATCAACTTTCCCAGCGGTTTGTGGGGCTGATAGACCAGAGGAAAGATGCCAGTTGGGGGTCAAAGGCAGAGATGATACTGCAGCTTCTCAAAGAGCTTTTTCATTAACAGAGATAGAATCAGCAAGGGGTCCAGAGCAGTGCCAGGGGCCTGGTGAAGAGTCCCTCACTCCCTGGGCGCGGGGGTCCTTCCTAAGCGCCCCACCCTCCACTAGGGCTGGCTGTCCAGAAGACCCATCTTTCAGGACCCAGTCTACCCTTGCGCAGCCCGAGGCGGTAAAGAGCCCTAAGTGGGCTCCTTACACTTGCTGGGCCTTTGTTTTCCTGGTGTCTAAGAAGGTCGCTGTTGAGGCTCTCACCCAGCCCCTTCTAGCCTTGCCATTCAGTTCAGGATCTTCACACAAAGGCTGTGGGGCTCCTTTCCGAATGAGGCCGTCCAAGAGGCAAAGCTGAGATACCCAGGGCTCACCCAGACAGGAGGCCCCTCCAAACGAGGCCATCTTGCAATCCCCAGAGGTTCCCCCATGCCAGCCTTGTGAAAAGAGCCCTTGACTGAGCCCCTGCGACGAGCAAGGCCTGGCCCATGGACTCCGTTCCCGGGGAGGGATGGCTAGCCAAGCTCCCGGCCTGGACTGTGAGCACCTCTCGTGAAGCTTTTAAATGGCATAAATGATTTTAAAGCCACCCAGCGGATGAGACAGCAGGACGGCTGTGGTCCTGCCCCTTCACCACGCGCCAGAGCTTACCGAGTCTGCTGTCTACTGACCCCTCCACAGCCCAGGAGGGAGAGATCTAGACAGTACCATCTCCCAGGCAGCTAGACAATGGGGCTCTCTGAATCTCAGCTTCTTCATCTGTCAAATGAGGATGACCAGTCCACCCCCACCGAACTGTGAAGATCCATTACGGCAGGGCATGTAAAACCCTTAACATACACAAAGCTACCTTAAAGACAGGAAAACCAAGGCTCCATGACCACCACGCTGCGCGGGCACTGGAGTCCTGTTTTCCCTGCAAAGTGGGAAAGGGCTGATGGGCACTTGGTGGAATTCGAGTCATCACCCCAGGCCTCAGATGGTGATGTGCTTTGTGTCTGCAGCAGGCAGGAGAGAGCCCTGGGCTGGCAGCTAACAAACAGGATGGACCTCTTGTGTCCACAGCTCTGGGCTGGGGCTCGTGAGGCAGGGGCCATGGAGCCTGGCCTGTGCCCGCTGTGGTAGGTTACTTTCCCTTTCTGGGCCTATGTTTTCCATTGGCGGTGATGGGGCAAATGGAAAGTCCCTGATTTTGCATTTGTTCATACAGCAGCCTTGAAGGCCCCTTGGTAGGTAGGAGAAATGTGGAGCTTCACACCTGGGCCCCAAGATTCCAATGCCCTCGACCTGACTCAGCATGCCAGGCCCACCAGGCAGGGTGTCTCAGCTCTTGGAGGTAGGAGCCAGCCTCACAGGCCTTCCCAGAAATGAGGCCCTGGACGGCCACCCAGCACTCTGAAAGGGACATCAGTGCCCACAGTAGGGCCAGGATGTAGGGCAGTCATCTGGGCCTCTTTCTCCCTAGCCCTGAACTCAGAAGTGGGGGGGGGGGTGTGAAAGGAAGGAGAGGGTGAGGATGGGGACTTTTTGCTTCATGAAAAAAAAAGGGGGGGACCTCTTCTTGACTAGAGCTGGCCTCTTCCTTAAGCTGGTAATAATGAGAGGCTGGATCCATCCTCCAGGTTTTTGGGGAGGAGAAAGATTAAAGGTAGAACTGGGTCTGAGGACTGAACTCGACCCTGACTCAAGATCATTTGACCACAATGCTTCCATCACTTTCCCTCTAACTATGAGCTGGGGCTGGCATGGCAGGTAGAGGTGGGATGAGAGCAGGTCTCCAGAGTGAGACCCCACGTCTTGCACAGTGACCCTAGCCCAGTCACCATACTCTTCCCCTCCAGGCCTTTGTAGGTCATTTCCACTGCACCCACTGCCCTTCCTCTTTGTCTGCCTAGTAACCGCACTCACCCTTCAAGGCCTTGCTGAAGCATCCCCTCCTCCGGGAAGCCCTCCCTACCTCCCAGCAGAGTCAGAATTCATGGCACTCACAGGTTATGTCAGCCTGGCCTTGGCATTCCTCACTCCCTGTTGTAATGGTTTGTTTCTAGCTCCCTGATTAGACAAGGAACTCTCAAGAGGGCAGGCCCTGGTTCTCATTCTTCTCCAGGGGCTTGTGCAATCACTGAAGTGCTTGCCAATGGCCGTGTTCAGTGAGAGCTTGTAGGAACTTGACCATTCTTGCTCTCAGGTCAACTTTTCTCCATCTGCCAGAGATGAACAGATGTAGTAAGAACCTCCTCTTGGGAGTAAACTTCTCCAAATCTCTTTTCCCCTAATGCCCCTCTCCAGAGTTCTCGCTGGCCCCACCAAGGCCAAGGTGCCCCTGCACTCTTGTTCTCTCAGCCTAGGGGCCCCTGACTTACTGCTGACCTCAAGTAGGGTGCTCACCCCCTGCACGGCCCCCATCCCTTCCCTGGGGTGGGTGCTGAGGCCAAGGTCCTCTCCCACCTCCTGCCCTCTTAGGTCCCAGGGGCTGAAAGCAGGCCCAGCTCTCTGGCCTTGCTGTTCCTTAGAGGGGCTAGGCCCTCCACAGCCTCCGAGCGGGGGCTGCAGTGGCTCTGTGTCTGAGCAGGCAGCCTGGATCTCCCCCCAGGGTGAGGGCCCAGGCCCTTGGTGGCAGCTGAGGAAGCCCAGGGCCAGGCTGGTGCCGGGCCAGGTGACAGGCAGGGGCGGGTGCGGCAGCAGGTGGGGGCTGGTCAGTCGCTGAGCACAGCCCCTGGGAGTTCATTGGTGAGCGTGTGCCAGCGCTCGATCCGCTTGTCCTTGTTCTTCAGGCAGTCAAACCAGTGCTTCAGGCGCTCGCCCTTAGCATTGATGCCCAGAACCACGCCTCCTGCAAGAAGGGAGCCAAGGGGGGAGCCGGGGACATGGTGACCTGACTCCCAAGGGCCTGGGAGCAGGAGTTCCCCAAAGACTGTTCCTGTGGAACCAGTGCCACCCCCCCCCACCCCCTCGACTGTGCTCCACGGCTGGACTCTGCCACCGGCCCCCCAGGCTCTAAGGGGGAGCAGTGGTCTGACTACCACACCACAGTCTTAGCTGCCTCCCATCCCCCACCCCTCGCCAAACAGAGCCCTGGGAGCCTGTCCTTCCCCTCTCCAGGGCCAGGGCAGTGCTGGGGGTATAGTGCGGTCAGGTCTTCGGAGCCAAGGACGGAGGCAGCTCCACTAAGCACGGCCACGATGCCCTGCCGGCCCGGAATTCAGGGCCCCAAGGACTCAGAGTCCAGACCAAAGCACTGACCGTCTTCACCTCTCACCACTGCTCCACACAGACTGAGGTGTGACCCTCCCAGACCTCTTTCCCTCACTGGGCCTGACATGAAGTCAGGCTGGATAAAGGCGGAGACCCCTTGTGTCTGAGGAGACAGTCTGAGGAAAGTGGGGGTCACAGAGACCAGGAAGCAGAGGCTGGGGCCTGGATTCAGGGCCACTGTCCTCTGTGAACCCGGAACAACACCCATGTGGCTAAAGGACATTTTCATTGTGTCCTCTTACCAATGAAATCGTTGGATTTTCCAATGTCATAATCCCAAACAGTGACTTCCAGGGTCTTCTTGGCCAGGTCCCCATGCTTAATCTCGTAACAGAATTCCTGGTGGTCAGAAGAAGTGAGTCAGGGCCAATGCCACAGGGCCTGGAGGCTGGCCAGTGGCTAGGAAGGCTCTGAGGTGCGGGGAGGGGGTGAATGAATGGAAGGGTAATCACAGTGCTCAGTGGTAGACGGTGGCAGATTCTCACCCATTCCACCTACTTCTGCTTGAGTGCTTGGCTGGGATCCTCAAAGTCCCCTGCCCTCCAACCTGCCTGTTCCTCTGTCACTGGAGCTGTTCTCTCCAGATCCCCAAGAGTCTCATTATTACAAAATCAATACACACTTGGCCGCCTTGCTGTGCTTGACCTCTCGGGCCTGGCTCTGTTGACCACTCCCTTCTTTGTGAACGTCTCTCCCCCCCAGGCTCCCGGGATGATCTGACATCCGATATCCCCTTCACTCTCTGGAAGCATCTCCTCAGTCTCCTCTGTGTGCCCCCCAGTCACTCAGGCTCGTCCCTAGGCCCTTCTGCTCCTGTCCAGGTGCACCTGCCCCCTGAGCTGAGGACCTCGGTCTCTACCTGGAACAGGCCGTCTCGAGGCCCTGGGACGTCTCAAATTCTCAGCTCCTGTGGTTGGCCCCCCTTCCACCTCCACGGCCTACATGGCCACAGTCCCATCCTGGATCCTCGGAAGAGCTTTCTAGGACTCCTTGCACCTCCATCTGCACCACCGTGGCCTGCTTCAGCCTGGCCTCGGCTCTCCCCCAACCTCCCATGGTTAGGGGCTCTCCTGTTGGCCCCTCCCCACCAAACCCTGCCTTGAGGGAGAGCAAGCAGCTTCACCAGCCCCTCATACCTCATTGAACTCGGGGTTCAGGGTCTTCTTCTTTACTGCAGTCTTGTGTTTGGATTTCTTGTCCACGTCTGGCTTCAGGTATCTGGAATTATGACCAACAAATGGGCAGGGGGTGGGGAGAAGCTAAGGGTACAGATGGGGCCAGCTCAGCTTGGACAAGCTTTTTGTTCTGGAGAGATCCCCGGGCCCCCCGGTCACACTAACCCTAGGACACCCCAGCACTACTTGGTGGCCAAGGTTAGCGGTCAGCTGCAGTGAGAAGTGGTTCCTTTGTCATCTAGACTTCTGTCCCCATGCCCATTTCAGAAGTTAACCACAGAGTTCCCTTCTTCCCTAGAGGTTTTTCTGGTTTCTGGAAGTCTAATTTTTATAAAGCTTACATTTCCCACCAGAAAAACATTTTTTAGCGGCATTGGTCCCTTGTTAGAGCTTTGCCTTTTTTAAAAATATTTATCGAGATAGAATTCACGTACTATGAAAATCATCCTTGTAAAGTATGTGAGGTATAAATTATACAAATACTATATCTAGCAGGTACTGTAGCAGCATATTCCCGAGTTCTACAGCCGGCACCTCTGTCTCACTGGAGCTTTGAGGAAGTTACAACCGTGCTCCCTGTAGGGAGCGTGAAGCCTGCCTTAAGAGCCAGTTCCTCTATAGGGGTTAGCTCCTTAGACTTTGATACCGGAGGGCTACTTTCATCAGCCTTAGAGAGGTAGAGGGACCGGCCCAAGGTCACATGGCTGCTCAGCACAGGGCTGGTACTCACAATCCAGGACAGGAGTTCCTTTGCAGGACTTCTGACCTTGTCCCTGCGTAGACATTTGAGTGAGAACTGTCCCTCCCCTGCTGAGCGCGCTTTGAGAGGGAGGACTATATTGGTCTCACTCATCACCAGCTCCCTGGCACCCTGCTTGGGGCTCAGGACACTTGGGCAGGTCAGCAGACACCTGTCGAATGAAGGAAAGATTCCTAGGAGGGATATTACCCGCCCAAAGGCACACACGTGTCAAGCTTCTTGCTTCATTATGCCAAACTGCCCACTGGAAAGTCTGTATGCATGATGCCTAGTACCCTTGACAGAGCCGATAGGGCTGCCTTAAAAATTCTTGCTGGTTTGCAGTCATCTCTTGGACATCAGCCTTAGCGACATATTTATGGATGTGTCTCCTCAGGCAAGAGAAACAAAAGCAAAAATAAACTATTGGGACTATACCAAAATAAAAAGCTTTTACACAGCAAAGGAAACCATTAATAAAGTGAAAAAGTCAACTTACTGAAAGAAAATATTTGCAAATGATATATCTGACAAAGGGTTAATACCCAAAGTATATTTAAAAATTTTTTAATAATTATTTTGAAAGACAGAGACCAGGGGAGGGGCAGAGAGAGAGGAAGACAGAGGATCAGAGGTGGGCTCTGTGCTAATAGAGCCCAATGTGGGGCTCAAACTCAGGAACCTGAGCCCAAGTCGGATGCTTAACCAAGTGAGCCACCCAGGTGCCTCTAATATCCAAAATATATAAAGAACTTATACACTCAACACCAAAACCCCCCAAATACTCTGATTAAAAGGTGGGTAGGGAACCTAAATATTTTGCTTTAAAAATTTTTTATCATATTTTTAAAGTTTATTTGTTTTGAGAGAGAGAGGGGGAGAGCATGAGTGAGAGAGAGGCAGGGAGAGAGGGAAAGAGAATCCCAAGCAGGCTCTGCATTGTCAGGACTGAGCCCGATGCAGGGCTCGAACTCATGAACCACGAGATCATGACCTGAGCAGAAATCAAAAGTCCGACACTTAACCAACTAAGCCACCTAGGTGCCCCTAAAAAGACATTTTTCTAAAGCAGATAAACAGATGACCAACAGATACATGAAGTCAGTAACCGTCAGGGGAATGTAAATCAAAACCACCAGGAGATACCACCTTACACGTGTCAGAATGGCTGGTATGAAACAGAAGAAATAAGCGTTGGTGAAGATGTGATGAGAGAACACTTATCCCTGTTGGTGGGAATGCAAACTGGTGCCGCCACTGTGGAAAACAGTATGGATGTTCCTCAAAAGATTAAAAATAGAAATACCGTATGATCCAATAAATCCACTCCTGGGTATTTACCCAAAGAAAACAAAAACATTAATTCAAAAAACATATGTTCCCATGTTTACTGAAGCATTATTTAGAATAGCCAAATTATGGAAGCAACACGAGTGTCCATCGATAGATGAATGGATAAAGATGGTGTGGTGTATGTATTTGTTCTCTATATATGTATATGTTGTGTATATGTCTTAGGTACATATAGTATTAAATATGTTGTGTGCATGTATGCAGTATATATATTTCTGTGTATATATACACAATGGAATATTAACCATAGAAGATTTTTCCATCGTGGCACCATGGATGGACCTAGAGGGTATTTCGCTAAGAGAAGTAAGTCAGAGAGCGACAAGTACCATAGGTTTCCGTTACCAAAGCAAATGAACAAAAAACCAGAAACATCCTCATAAATAGAAACAAACTGGTGGTTGCCAGAGGGGAAGGATGGGAAGGAAGGGATGGGCAAAACAGGCGAAGGGAATTAAAAGGTACAGATTTCCAGTTATTTAAAAAAAAAAAAAGTCCTTGCTGGCTTGAAAAGCAGAAAGATATATCATTGCTGGTTTTTTTCAGTTGTGATTTTTTTTTTTTTACATAAATAACACGAGTTTATTATAGAAACATTAGAAAATATGTACTGAAGTTGAAGGTGGGAAGGAGAAATGAAGACACAGATCCACTTCAAAAACCTGTTCTTTAGCAGCATTATGCAGTCATCAACAACTGGAAACCCACAAAAACCCAACAGGAAACAGCTAAGAAAATGGAAATAAGTACACATCTGTCAATAATTACTTTAAATCTAAATGCTCAAAAGACATAGGGTTACAGAATGGATTAAAAAAAAAAAAAAAAGACCCACATATCCAAACACTGCCTACAAGAGACTCCGTTCAGACTTAGAGACAGACTGAAAATGAGAGATGGAGGAAGATATTACATACAAATAGCAGTTGGGGTGGGGGGAAGCTAGGGTAGCAATACTTACATCAAACAAAATAGACTTTTTTTTTTCCCCCCGGAGAGAGAGAGACAGTGTGAGCAGGGGAGGGTCAGAGAGAGAGGGAGACCCAGAATCCGAAACAGGCTCCAGGCTCTGAGATAGCTGTCAGCACAGAGCCTGACGCAGGGCTCGAACCCACAAACTGTGAGATCATGACCTGGTCCAAAGTCTGATGCTTAACCGACTGAGCCACCCAGGTGCTCCATAAATAGATTTTAAAACAAAGAAACAGGAGACAAAGAAGGGCAGTATATGACAAGGGGACCAGTTCAACAAGAAAATATGATAGTTATAAATATCTCTACATCCAACAACGTAGCATCTAAATACATAAAGCAAATACTAACAGACATAACAAAATTAACAGTAATACAGTAATAGTAAGTGACTAATACCCTAATTACGTCAACGGTTAGACCATCCAGGCAGAAAATCAATAAGGAACCAGGGTCTTTGAATGGCACATTAGAACAGATGCAAGAATGATCACCTGTTAGACCACAAAAAAATCCCTATATTTAAGACTGAAATTATATCAAGCATTTTTTCCCAATACCACAGTATGACACTAGAAGTCAATTAAAAGAGAAAACTGGAAAAAACCCACAAACGTGGAGAATAAACAACACGCTATTAAACAACCAGTGGGTCAACAAAGAAATCGGAGGAACTTTAAAAAATATATGGAGACAGGGGCGCCTGGGTGGCTGAGTTGGTTGAGCGGCCGACTTCGGCTCAGGTAATAATCTCACGGTTCGTGGGTTCGAGCCCCGCATCGGGCTCTGTGCTGACGGCTAGCTCAGAGCCTGGAGCCGGTCTTCAGATTCTATCTCTCCCTCTCTCTCTGACCCTCCCCTGCTCACGCTCTCTCAGAAATAAATAAAAAACATTAAAAAAAATTAAAAACAAAGTGGAGACAGGGGCACCTGCATGGCTAAGTCAGTTGAGCATCTGACTTCAGCTCAGGTCATGATCTCCCATCTCGTGGGTTCGAGCCCCGCATCAGGCTCTGTGCTGACAGCTCAGAGCCTGGAGCCTGTTTCATATTCTGTGTTGCCCTCTTTCTGCCCCTCCTCTACTTGCACTGTCTCTCTCTCAAAAATAAATGAAAATTAAAAGTTTTTAAAGAGAGAAATAGAGATACAGTCCTACCTCAAGAAACAAAAATCTCAATCTAATCTTACACCTAAAGAAGTTAGGAAAAGAATAAACAAAGCCCAAAGTTAAAAGAAGGAAATAATAAAGACCAGAGTAGAATAAGGGAAATAAAGACTTAAAATCAGGAAAATACCAATGAAACCAAGGGCTGGTTCTTTAAAAAGATAAACAACGGGTGCCTGGGTGACTCTGTCAGTTAAGTATCCCACAATTCTTTTTTGAAATGTTTCTATTGAGAGTGAGCAAGCAAGCAGGGGACAGAGAGACAGAGAGAGAGAGACAGAGAATCCCAAGCAGGCTCCATACTGTCAGTGCAGAGCCCAATATGGGGCTCGAACTCACAAACTGTGATATCATGACCTGAGCTGAAATCAGGAGTCCGATGCTTAACCAACTGAGCCATTCAGGCAACCCTGGAGAGCCCATAATTAAACTCATGCATATATGGTCAATTAATATACAACAAAGGAGGTAAGAATATATAATAGGGAAAAGATGGTCTCCTCAATAAATGATATAGGGAAAATTGGGCTTTTTTTTTTAACACCTTGTACAAAAATAAACTCAAAATTGATTAAAGACTTAAGTATAAGACCCTGCAACCATAAAACTCCTAGAAGAAAACCTAAGTAGTAATGACATCAGCCTCAGCCACATTTTTCTAGATAGGTCTCCTCAGTAAGGGAAACAAAAGCAAAAATAAACTATTGGGACTACATCAAAATAAAGAGCATTTACACAGTAAAGAAACCATCAACAAAATGAAAAGACAACCTACTGAAAGAAGATATTTGCAGGGGTGGGGGTGGGGGTGAGGGTGGGGGTTTCGGCATAATTGGTGAAGGGGAGTGGGAGACACAGGGTTCCAGTTACGGAGTTATGGAATGAGGAAGCCACAGGGATAAAGGTACAGCATAGGCAATACAGTCAAAGGTATTGTAATAGCGTTGTATGGGGACAGGGTAATATTGTCGGTCAATAATATATTTAAAAAAAAAAAAAAAGGAAACTAATGTGCTTTAGCATGAAGTGAACTGAGCAACAGCTTGTGGTTTTTCTATGTGACAAAGGACTGTTTGGTAATAAGACCAAACTACTGGTACTTGTAATCATGGAGGTGGATCGTCAATGCATTATGCTATATGAAAGAAGCTAGATTCAAAAGGCAACATACTGAAAGGTTGTCTTTTTTTTTTTTTTTATGTTTTATTTATTTCTAGGAGAGAGAGACAGCGTGAGCGGGGGAGGGTCAGAGAGAGAGGGAGTCACAGACTGAAAGAGGCTCCAGGCTCTGAGCTGGCAGTCAGCACAGAGCCCTACGCGGGGCTCGAACCCACGAACCGCGAGATCATGACCTAAGCGAAAGTCGGACGCTTAACCGACTAAGCCACCCAGGCGCCCCTGAAAGGTTGTCTTTATAAGAAAGTCTGGAGGGGCACCTGGGAGGCTCAGGAGGCATCCGACTCCTGATCTTGGCTCAGGTCATGATCTCCCCATTCGTGGGTTCGAGCCCCACATCGGGCTCTGTGCTGACAATGCCAAGCCAGCTTGAGATTCTGTCCATCTCTCTCTTTCTCTCTGCTCCTTCTGTGCATGCACGTGCTTTCTCTCTCAAATAAACTTTTTCAAGTCTGGAAAAGGCAAAACTATTAGGACAGAAAACAAATCAGTGGGTGGCTGGGGGTACTTTCAGGTGGGGGGGGATAGAAGTATTCTGTGTCTTGATTGTGGTGATGGTAATAAGGCTGCATACAGCAGTTGAACTTCAAAAGGGGAGAAACTTACAGTGTGTAAATTGTATCTCAATAAATCTGACTTTTAATCCATCATAGGATCCTGGAATTCCTGTCCACCTGGCAGGTGAACACGGAGCCAGATTTTAAGATTCCACACCATTTCGGCTTTGGATTCTTTCCTTCCGTACGGGAACTCTAGTAGCGTCCCAGCTCCAAGCAGAGGCACCTTGTTGCCCTCTCCAGTCCCTCCCCCCACCCCCGACTGCTGCGACAATCGTACACAAACAGCATCGCACTGCGTACACTGTTCTGAAGTTTGCTCTGGGGATCAGCATGTTTGGATAGCTGTCCACGTTAATTTAGTCCTCATGTATTCATTTTAACTACACGGTACTTCATTATATGCATATGCCACATTTTATTAATCTATCCCTCTGCTGGTGAACGTTGGCGGTTTCAAGTGGATCGCTACACCGAGCAATGCTGCAAAGATCAGCCTATCACCCGTACACGGGTTTCTAGGATACAAACCTGGAGGGGACATAATGCAGCCACAGGGTGCATACACTTCCTAGTTGGCTGGATATGGCTGACTCTCCCTCCAACAGTTATAAAGAGTGTCCTGATGATCTTCTGGATGATTAAAGCATTTCCTCTCACAGTGGTCTTTAATCCACTGGAAATCACGGTTTTGCTCATGGTTGAGGTGGGGACCCAAATCACTAGTCTTTAAGTTATTTACTTATTTGAGAGATGGAGAGGGACAGCATGAGCAGGGGAGGGGCAGAGAGAGAGAGAAAGAGAATCCCAAGCAGGCTCAGCACGGTCAGTGCAGAGCCCAACAGAGGGCTAAAACTCATGAACTGTGAGATCATGACCTGAGCAGAAATCAAGAGTCTGGCACTTAACTGACTAAGCCACCCAGGCGCACCCCTCAAATCTTTAAAAATAATCTCTACATCCAACGTGGGGCTCGAACTCCCAACTCCGAGATCAAGAGTCACATGCTCCACTGACTGAGCCAGCGAGGCGTCCCTCTCATAGGACCTGAAAAGTGACAGAAATGTAACGGAGGCCAGTGGGAGTGATAGGTGGCTTCAGAGTTGTGGTGTCGAGGGATCCCGAGGCCTCTGGGGCTCCTCACCTTCCCCTCAGGCCTGGCTCCTCCCATTTCTAGGTTTTGGCTCCTCTATTTCTCAGCCCAAACAGGAATGACCCCCTTCTGCTGAGCCAATACCTCCCCACATCCCGCCTGACATTCTCACGGTGAACACAAATACCCACTGTCTGTTTGCAAGGCCCAGAGCACGGACGGTGCTCGCCACACACCCGGCTTCCCCCCTGTCTGCAGGGCCACCAGCTCTTGCCTTCCCCTCAGAGCTGGGGTCACCACGTGGCCTGGCACAGGTTCATGATGGCTTTGACGCCCCGCGCCCACCAAGTTAAGATTTCTCTCCAGCACCACTATGGTCCCTCTGGTGAGGCGGGGTGGGCCCTGATGGGCACCTGTGGCACCAGGCTGGGCACACAGGGGCGGCCTTAAGTTCCAGCAGAGCTCCTCCTCTGGGTCTCTGGGTCTCTGGGCCAGCCCCAGCCCCTCCCTTAACTGCTAAGGGCCCCTCCTAAGGTCGCAGTCAAGGGCAAATCTGAATGGGATGTCAGGAGACAACTACTCTCTCTGCGTGACCTGGGAAGCCACTCAAATTCTACAGGCCTTGGTTTCCTCATCTGTGAAATGGGGCTGCTCAGACTTAACCCACAGAGTTGCCAAGAGAATACACCCCCGTAGGCGCAGTGCCCACCGTGCCTCCTGAGATGCCACTTTAGCGCCTGCCACACCAGCTCTGGTCCTGTGAGGGGGAGGCGGAAGGAGACAGCCAGCCCAGGCCCTTCACTCACGTCTTCACGTAGGGGTCTGAGTAGCCGTTGGCGTCCATGGCAGCCAGGTGTGCGCAGCGCACGATGCCGACCAGCAGGCCCTGCTTCTGCGAGCTGTACTTGAGGGAGATCAGGATCCGGCCCCGCTCCTCCAGGGACTTGTCTTCCGTCTTGTCCACCTGTCAGGCAGGCAGCCATTTGGCGGTCCTTACGCGCTCCCTCCCCTCCCAACCCCCCCCCCCCCAGGGGCTGAGGCTGCTGCTGCTGGCCTGGTGGGTGGTGAGGGGTCACCCTGCCTCAGCTTCCCATGAAGGTACTTCCTGGAGCCCTGTACCCTGGGTACAGGGGGAGCCCCCTTGGGGGGAGCCCCGAAGACAGCTTTGACATATTCCTGACCCCACGCGGAGCAGGGGGGCCCTCCTGCTCCCTGGCCGTTGTCCAGGGCGGCTTCAGGGATCAGACCTCACCTGTGGGTCTCCTCGTCTGCCTCCCTGCCCCAACTAGCCCAAGGGTTTCCAGTCCTCACCCTCCTGAGAGCACGGTTTCCACCATCTGGCTCCTGCTCTACTTCTCTACCCTCTGTCCACCTGATACACCCGGCTAGAGGCCCCAGGGCCCCTCCTTGGGCCTCTCTGGTAGGCTCCTCTCCCTGAAGTCCCAGCCACGTCCCTTTGCCCATGATGGTCCTCTGCTTATCACTAAAGTGATGTCCCACGTGGCTTCTCATAGGCAGGGGTCATGCCTACAACCTCTCTGGAGATGGGACTCCTATGTGGTGAGGAAAGGGCCACCCTTCCCTGACTCCCACACCCAGAGCAGACATGACTAATAGATCACCGCATTTATTCTAAGCTCACATGAAGCCTCTGCATCTTTCTCAGCACAGTGCTGGACGGCCATTATTAAGGGCCCAGGCTAAGCGGGGGAGATTTAGCCCTCTGTTGCTCTGGCCCAGGGCTCTGTACGATGGCCTCAGTAAACAGTGCTCTCGTGCTAGTTTGTCAGGTGTGTGAACATTAAACAATATAAAGGAGCAGGAAACTTCAGCTGCCTTTTGTGTGTGTGTGTGTGTGGGGGTACATCATACACTGGCTTCTTTCAATAGGAAGACCACTGGATTGACTGGGTGTTATTCAGCACTTACTGAGAACGAATAATGCTCACGGACCATGTAAAACCTAACACGTACCATCCAAGGGCATGTCTTTACCGTCAGCAGTTACCCTCAACCGCATTCCTTGGTCACCGTAGGTCTCAGACCAGACCAGTGAGCCTCTAGCAAATCTGAGCAAGGTTCGGCAAGGCCCTGACCGCGCCCCGAGCACGGGCACGCACACCCTCTCACCTCTAAAGTGTGAGCACATGCCCACGTGCGCTTTCACGTGCAGACACATGTGCCCATACCCCTACACGCCATCAGCTGTTGGTCATGCCAGGGTTCAAAGCTCAGGGACACAGCTATACTAGGGGTTGACGTCATTTTTTGTAAGTGACGTAGATGATTCAGAAAAACTGGGTTTCGGTTACTGACTACTAATAAAATAAAGGTTATATCCATCATTCAGATGTCGAGGAGTTGGAAAGAATGTGACAAGGGAATAAAATTGGATCAAATTACACAAAATCAGAGTTGCGATTTTGGCCTCATACTGACTTTTTTCCAGGGCTTGACTGGGGCCAGCCTGCATGGGGCATTTGTCCCAGGGCCCTGGGCCCCACCGGGGATGAGCCTTCCCCTTGCCTAGGCCTTTGGGGGGAAAATGTCCTAAAAAGGGGGTCTGTGCCCTGGACACTGGGCTGCTGGAGGGTCTCAGGGCCCTGAGGCCCCCCTGGCCAACACCTCCCACCAGCCCTTCTGGATGGGGGAGGGGGGCGACGGGGAGGGGGGAGGGGGGCGACGGGGGGGGGGGATTGCAAAGGCTCAGCTGCAGCAGACAGCAGGGGGCAAGATGGGTTTTGACGGCTTCTAGGAAAGAACTACCTTTTAGTGTCCTCTAGGGGTGTCCCAGGCACCGCATGCCTCATGTTCCAGTCGTGCCAGGAACATCCCCAGCGGCTCCCCCCACGGGCCTCCACAGCAGTTAGTGACCTCTGATCTTTCTAGGTGCTCGACCCCCACGTCGGGGAACGCTTGATCTCCAGGCGCACCCACACAGATCCCCTGCTCCCCCTCCTCCTCCTCCGCTGTGCACCCCCCACAACCCCCCTGCCCAGGCTGGGACACGCTCATCCGCCCCGGCTCTCCTCACCCCAGCCTCTTCTCCCTCCCAGCCTGCGCCCAGCAAGCTGGTTACATGAGCCGCCGGTTAAACCCGTAGTCAGAGGCCCTGGCCCCTACCTGGCACGCCCCAGTGGCCCTCTTGCTCATGAAGAGTCCCTCACTCACCAACCTCTGACCTCCTCTCCCAGGACCCAGTCCGCGTGCAGTGAGCCTTTTGCTTGTGCCCCTAACAGCTCGGCACCTGCTATTCCCTCCGCCAGGAATATTCCTGAACTTCCATCTAAACCACTGACCACTTGAGCTTTCCTTCGGGAACCCGAGCTCTAACACGTGCTCGGCTTGGGCAACTGCCCTCGTTCTGGGTCTGTCTCCTGCCCAAGCTCTGCAAGGGCCAGGGCTTTTGTCCGCTCCCCCGGCACCTGAAGCCAGGCCAGGCATGCAGCAGGTGTTCAGTAAATGCTGCTGGCCCTGAGCTCTCAACACGGACGGCCCTGGACAGCCCGTGGAGCCCCAGGCCCCACTCACCGGCAGCTGCTTCTCCAGGCAGATACTGAACGTCTTGGTGTGATTGGGTTTCAGCTTCTTCAGGGGCACCCGCGTCTCCCCGATGAACTCATTGTGGCGGAACTTGTCCTCGTCACACACGGAGATCCTGGAGGACGAGGCCAGCTCTTCAGACACAAGGGCTGGGGGTGGTGCTCTCACTTTGCTTTGTAGGGTTGTGCACCGGGGGCAGGGACGAGGGGGGGCAGGGACGAGGGGGGGGCAGGGATGAGGGGGGGCAGGGACGAGGGGGGGGCAGGGCCAGCCCCTGCGGGTGAGGCGGGGGCAGAGGTTAGGAAGGGGCCCCAGGGCTTTCACCCACCGAAGGGTCTTCCGGATCATGTCTTCGTCTGTGATCCCGTAGTAAGTGAGGGTCTCATTCCACGTGGGGTTCAGAGTGTTTCGGAGTGTTTTCGTTCGGAGTTTATTTGCCTGGTGAGAGCAGAGGCGGTGCTGTGAGCGCCAGGGAGTCCAGGCCTGCCCAGTCCCGGGACGCTGTGAACACGCCCAGGGTAAGGAGGTCCCTAATCGGTTGACTTTTTTTCCAAAAACTTTTAATGTTTTAGTTTTGAGAGCAAGACACAGTATGAGAGGGGAGGGACAGAGAGAGAGAGAGGGAGACAGAATCCATGAAGCAGAATGCAGGCTCTAGCTGTCAGTACAGAGCCTCACGCGGGGCTTGAACTATGAGCCACAAGATCATAACCTGAGCTGAAGTCGGACGCTTAACCAGCTGAGCCACCCAGGCACCCTCCTAATCGGATGACTTTAAAATGTGGAGATCGGTGGTCTGGGTGGCTCAGCGGGTTGAGGTCACGATCTCATGGTTGTGGGGGGTCAAGCCCTGTGTTGGGCTCTGTGCTGACATCGAGAGCCTGCTTGGGATCCTCTCTCTCTCTGCCCCTCCCCTGCTCACGTGTGCATGCCCTACCTTAAAAAATAAACTTTAAAAAAATAGAAAACAAAAGATGGAGATTACCCAGGTGATTGCGGCAGGCCCAATGCAATGTGATTACAGGGCCCTTGAAAGCCGAAGAGGGAGGCAGGGGAGGAGGGTTACGGCAAGGCCACCAGGGAAAAAGTCATAGGTGGACGCCGGCGGGGGGGGGGGGCGGGGGGGGGGGGCACGCCCTCCAGATGCTGGCAAAGGGTGGAAACGGCCTCGCCCGCAGTCCCGCCACACCCGGGGTTACCCGCGAGGGAGCTGTGGCACCGGGAGAGAAGGCGTGCTGCCAGCGCGGAGCGGTGGGAAGGGGCGGGGGCGGCGCTAGGAAACTAGCTCCGGGGCCCCGCCTCCGCGGCCCCGCCTCCACGGCCCCCGCCCGCCCGTGCTTCCGCAGGAGGCGCTGCCGCCCAGACGGCTTCTCCCCCACCCTCTGCCCTGCCTCGGCTCAGGCCCCTCCCACTACCTGGACCGCCACCTCCTGGAAACGGCCTGTGAGGCGGCGTGGCCCGGCTGTCACAGGGCCTCCACTCCTCCCTCTGTTCTTCCCTAGCTCTCGGTTCTTTTATACTCCGTATCTGTCCTGGGCACTTGGGACTCCGCCCACCACTGGATCCCCGAGGTCGGCCACCCCACCAGCTCCGAGGTCAGGCTGGCCCGGGTTACTCGCCCTCCGTGAGCATCAGGCTCCCCACTGCGGAAAAGGGCACAATGGTACCTGTTCCTCAGCAGGTTTTCTGGAGCCTTCTCAATCAGGAGACTGCTTTTTATAGAACACCGCCCTATGCGGAACTCCTACCTGTGTGGTAAGGTCCCTATGAGTCCACCTCCTGGTACTGCCGACTCTAGGGACTCATAGCTATCAAGTTTCTGAGCTGGGGACATTCTCCTCATCACAATGCCCTCAGCCCTCACAGCCCTGGGAGTCTGCTCCAGGTGGCCCTCCTGGACTGGTGGGGAGCCTCAGGCCTTACACGCTGGCATAGGGGGTTTGGGCCTCAGACTCAACTCGGGCCCTAGCAGCCCATGGCCCCACAGCCGCCTCCCTGCTTAGCTGGCCTGGAAGAGTCCGTGGCCAGGGAGGCCCTCTGCCTAGGGCATTCCCATTACATATTCTCCCTAGCAGGCCACTCGGAGGTCAGGAAGTCCTTTCCTAACGCTTGGTTTCTTAGAGGGGGCCAGAACAAGCACACCAGCCAGCGGGCTCTGCTGCTCAGGCTCCGGGGTCCCGTGTCCCATGTTCCCCAGTCTCCCTCTGGGAAGCAAAGCTGGTCTCTGATGGATCCCCCTCTCAGCAACGGGGTCCATACCACCTGCCCCTGAGAAGTCTAGGGGTCCCAGACCCAACTCTGGAAAGATGATCTAACCGTCCCTCCCATGAAATTAGAAAGAGGACAACCCTGAACTGTAAGACACATGTAAGTAAAGTCTAGACCTTCTGGTATGGAGGGTCACCTTGGTGCTTTGGCTCAATAGCAAATCCTTTCTAAAAAGCTTCTGTTTTCCTAGGTGCACCACATGCTTGGTCTGCCTGTTGGGGTCACCTAGTACAGGAACGAGGGTTCTGTAGTCAAAAAACTGGGCAGAATCTACCCACTCCATCCCGTCTGTGGAGTGGCACAGAGCAGGCCATCAACACTTTTAAGGCTCTGATAAGTCCTGGAGTGTAACAGGGCTTCCCAAGGTTATTGGGCCACAGAGCTCCCCCTCCCTGCCACACATTGTAACATCCAACTGACACTGCTGCTTATAAAACGCTGGCCTAGAGATTCGCTGGAGGGTTTTCCCAGTTAGGCAGGCAGTGCAGACTTGAGGTTCCTGGAAAGTCCAGGGGCCGTGGGGCTGACTGGGTGCTCTGGGTGGAATGGCTGAGGTCCCATCAACTTGCTTGGGCTGTGAGGCGGCATCCCCCCTCACCTTACTGGCTCCTGGCAGTAGATGCAGCTTGACGTAGGGGTCTGCCAGCCCGTTGTGGTCCATTGGCTTCAGCCCCTGCGGGGAGGGGAACGGCCAGGGTGTGAAACGGGAGCTGGAGACACAGAGCAGCGAGGGCCCCCGGGCACCTGGGTCGGCAGGCATCCCTTGTGCCCAGGCCTCCGGGCTGGGTCCTTTCACGACCCTCTCTGCAGAGACCCCTGAGCCCACCTCTCAGAACTGGAGTAGTCTCCCCTCCCCCCACAGGTCCTGGCCCAAGGCAGGGGTCATGGGCGGTCTCGGTCAGACCAGACTTTCTGTTCTCTGTATCATGGAGGCCAGGTGACTCCCCTTCTCTGAATGAGGGCCCCATCATCTTGCTTCAGTGAGGCCCTGCCTTCTTCCGGACTCCTCTTCCCCCACTCCCCAGATACACGACTTCCCTCACTGACCCTCACCATCCACGTGACCCTCTATCCGCCCATCCACATGCGTCCCTCTTCCCACCCCCAGGAAAGCAGTCTGGGTCCTGGAGACCAGGCTCCCCGCCAGCCTGTATCCAAGGAGGCCCCGCGTCCCGGCTGCCCTTGGCGGGTCCTTCCACAAGATGGCGTCCCTCACTAACCCGGAGCCTTCAGTCAAGTGTGCACAGCCAGGGAACCAAGGAGCCAGAAGCAGACAGTGGCTCAGCTGACCACCTGACTGCTCTTGTTTCTGAAAACTATTCTTTTCCTTCCTTGGTGGCACCCGGGCACGGAGGGAGGCAGCGATGGCCGGCGTGGGGCTGAGCTTGCAACCCCGTGGCATCACACACCAACGGCCATTCACCACCAGGCCCACCTCCGAGGAGAATGGAGGCTCCCGCCCCCACCCTGGTTTGGTTTGGAGAGCGGGGGGGGAGGGGGGGGCGGAAATTTGAGGTCAGGGCTCCCAATCCCTCCCCCCCCACTGCTGGCTGGGGCCCAGATCTCTGCCTGCGCACTTATCATCTGGGAAAGTGGAGGCGTTCCTTTGCCCCCAGAGCCTCAGCTTTATCATCTGTAAAGGGGGTTACTGGGTCCCACTTCCCAGGGGTGGACTGGGAGCAGACGAGGCTGCAGGCCTCTTGGAAGATTCCGGAGAGGCAACTGAGGGCTGGTGTGGGGGTATCTGAGCTGTGCTGGAGCTGCTGGGGCTCCAGCGGTGTCGGGATCGACAGGCTTGGCTCCGAGGCCCTGTGTGCACCCACAGCAATGAGGGGGCCCTTCCGGGTGCAAGTCCCTCATCTCGGCCTCACAGCCTGTCCCTGAAGTGCCCAGGACTGGCCACTTGGTCAGCGCTTTCCCAGTCCCTCTGCTTGTGTGGGTGGAGCTGGGCACTTGCCACCAGGCAGTCCTCCAGGATAGCAGCTGGTACCAAACACCTCACTTAATGCCCACAGCCACCACACAGGTGGGGGTGATTAACCCTATTTTACAGACGAGCAAACGGAGGGTGCTCTGCTTACCCCGATGGTAGGGGCCAAGTTAGGGTCCAACTCCAAGGTACCTGGCCTCCTCCCAGAGACCCTCAAGGGGCTCTGCCTGTCAAGCCCTACTTCTGCCCTTTGGCTCCCCCAAACCCCAATCCAGAGCCCCGGTTCCTCCTAGGCCCTCCCCTGCTAAACTGGATCTAAGCAGAGAATGACCTGGAGAATGGGGTCCTTGTAGGATTTGGGGTCCTCCCATCCCCCACTTCCTATCCCTTGAGTGACACCCACTAAAGGACATACACGTATGTGCACACACAGGTGCCCTCAGAGACCCCATGTCCGCACACACGCACCCCCCTCCCCATCCCCCCCACAGCCCCGCTGGAGCCTGGGTAGGGAAGGCAGGGCACACAGCACAGGAGGTGCCGGTGTCTGGGGGTGGGGAGGAGACCCTGTGGCTCTGGCCAGGGTGGCCTAGAGCGGGTGACCGCTCGCAGTTCCCAAGCTTTGACAACCCCTACAAAGCGAGGGGGGAGGGGGGAAGGGGTCCGCCCGGGGCCCTGCGGCTGGCACTCCACGTTGGCACTGCTGGGGGGTCACCGGACACTCAGCTCCTTCCCCGGGGCGGGTCTGGAGTCCCCGCATCACAGCCTGGGCAGCTCCCCAGGCGGGGGCAGGCCCGGGATGGCACGTGCGGGCCTCGGGGCCCTGGGCCCAAAGCGGACCCTACTCCCTCTGTGTGGCCGTCCAGGTGTGCGGGCCCAGGCCAGGCGGGACAGCGGAGGCAGGCAGAGCCCTGGGTGGGGGTGCTGCGGGGCAGAGAGGCTGCGGGTTGGGGCGGAGGTAGGGGTCTGGGCCCAGGCAGCTCTGCCCGAAGTTCCTTGCTCCGAGCCGGGCCCAGGCCCCTCCCCGGCTCTACCGGGAGTCGCACTACGCGGCTCTACCGCCCTTACCTTGCGGGAGAACATCAACTTTGGCACCTTCCTCCCAGAGGGATCGATGCAGGGGGTGGAGGGAACAGCAAGGCTGAGAAGAGAGCTGATCCCTGCCTGCCTGGCAGCCAGCCCGAGGGGGGAGGTGCTCCCAGCCCCAAGCCAGAGCGTGGAGAGCAAGGCCGGGGCCCGGAGCCCACGCAGAGGAGTCCCCCGCCCCCAGCGGGACGCTGGTGCCCACCCACTCCTCCGGTTGCCCAGGTATTGGGAGCTTTGGGGGCCAGAGGCAACCAATTCAAACCCCCTCTTGTCTAGCAGGACACACCTGACATCTCTCCCCTTCCCCTCCTTCCCCCCACAGCCCCGCCCCAGCTCTGCCCCCAGCGCCTGCTTTCCTGCTCCCATTCCCTTCCCGCTTCCTTGTTCTGCACCTTCCGTGAGTGCCTGGCTGAGCCGGGCCTTTTAGGGCAGCTGAGAGGACTCAGGCCAGAAGTCCCTCCCTCCCTGCACCCACGGCGCAGGTGCTACAGAGGCCGGACAGCGAACGGGGGGGGGGGAGGACAGGCCTCGGGCCTCAGCCCCCACCTCCGGCCCTGGCCCTGGCGCCCGGGGAGCGCGGGAGCGGGCGGGGCCTACCTTGGCCTTGCCGATGGTGCAGTGCAGGGCGTTGTTCTCCTGGTCGTAGAGCAGGCTGAAGTCCAGCGTGCCCAGGGCAGCTGCGGACGGGGGCTCTGGTCACGCGCGGGCCACACGGTGGGGAGCCTCCCCCGCCCCTGCGTGGTGGGCGGGGCGCCCGTAGCGCCCATCAACCGAGCACCTACTGTACCCAACCCCTCCACCCAGCCTCTTAGTCCCACCAGCCCTGGAGGTGAGCAATGTCCTCGTCACGTTCCAGAGGACAGAGGACCCGGGGCTCAGTGAGGCCACGTCAGCCCCGGTCACCACCAGCGGTGGCCCAAGGGTCAAACCCGGGTGGCAGGCCCTTCAGCCCGGGCCCCTGTGGGGCTGGACTGTGGGGCTGGGCCCGGGGCCGGTCCAGTGTTGTGCCCAGTGTGCTCAGCGTACAGGGCACTCAGCGAAAGGTTCCCGTCCTTCTGCCATCCTCATGCAGCCGCCAGTCTTGGCTCTGTGCCTCAGTTTCCCTTACCTGTTAAGTCTCACAGGACTGGGTGAGAAGGCAGAGGAGACAGGGCTTTGAGAGGCTGTGGGTCCTGCCCAGGCTGCCCGGCTGACCCACCCCCACGACACCTGGGACTGCAGCTCCCCAGTCTCTCCGGTCCGTGGGGCGGGGGGGGGGGGGGGGGGGGGAAGGGTACCCTGTGCAGCCTGCACGGAGCCGGCCAGGACCTCACGCTGCTAGCGGCAAGCCTTTCAAAGGCAGCAGCCGACTCCCTAGGGCCGGGCAGAGCACGCGGCAATAAGTGGGTGCAGCTGCAACCCTGGGGGACAGTCATGCCCGGCAGCTGCGGCTTTCCATGGTGACGCGGCTCCTGGCCTGAAAGCCGGGGCTGTGGGTGAGGGGCAGACCTCCAGGGGCAGTCCCTGGAGAGCAAGATGTAAATTCCCAGGATATCTTTAGAAGCTCAGACACAGGCTGTTGGGCTGGTCCACTGGCGCCCTATTCATTCATTCACTCACTCATTCGTTCATTCTTTACCAAGCATTGTTACGATAAGCTGGTTTCTAGGGATGGGGATATCAGTAAGGTGGGGTTCCCACCCCAAGGAAAGCATAGCTTAACAGGAGACACAGACGAAAAGAATCTACCCTAACAGAGTCTGGTGACCTCAATAGGGGTCCGAGGTGGTGAGCTCCACCCCCTGAACTGGGGCCAGCAGGGAAGGCTTCCTGGAGGAGGTGACGCTTCACCGGAGCCATGCAGGATGAGCAGGGGTTGGCCAGGGCACAGTGACATTGGGGGAAAGGGCCAACTGGAGGGTGGGGGGCTGAGTGGCTGGAGCCAGGCTAGGGGGAGGGCGGGGCTCTGTTCTTCTGGCCAGCGGCACCCAACATGGTTCTAGAATGAACTATGGCCCACTGGCCAAGTCCGGGCAGGCTCATCTTTTCACAGCTTGCCCATGGCTTTTGCCTGCAATGGCACAGTGGTGTATATCCACAGGGACCGTATGCCAGCAGACCCCTGGGCTCGCGCTGGGGCCCTGGTGTGGCAAAGTTAGGCTTTGCAGAGAAATGGGCAAAAAGTAAGGCCCACGTGTGCGGAGCTGACCTTAACTCTGAGGTGATGGCACTGAGTCGCATTTGCCTTCCCCCTAGCTCCTAACACAGGGTAAGGCATCCAGCTGAGTCTCTGTCCTTGCCTCAGAGGGGCACACGTGGCATACGAGACCCGCCCTCTGCTACCCGACCCCGGGTTGAAGTCCTGGCTGTACCGTGCTTCCTTGCTGTGTGACTTTACACAGCTTTTCTCGCCTCTTTGTGCCTCAGTTTCCTCATGTGCAAAATGGAGACATGACAGCGCCCACCTCATGGCACTGTGCTTTTCTTTTTAAATTTAATTTTGAGACAGAGAGAGACAGAGCATGAGTGGGGAGGGGCGGAGAGAAAGAGAGACACATAACCTGAAACAGGCTCCAGGCTCTGAGCTGTCAGCACAGAACCCCATGCGGAGCTCGAACCCACAAACAGTGAGATCATGACCTGAGCCGAAGTCTGACGCTTAACCGACTGAGCCACCCAGGCTCCCCCATCGGCACTGTGCTTTAACAGAGCCCCTGGGAGACAGGAAACGCTCAGTACGTTATTATAGAAAAAGCAGATCCATTTTGGCGGTTTTCCGAGATACCCGTACTTGCCCCTCTGAGATGAACTCATTCCAAACTGGATCACGCCCCTCCCAGCCTTTGTGAACAAGACGTACATACGGTCACTTCTGTTCTCTTCACTTTTCTGCCCCTCTTTTGCCATCAGCCTGAAACCCCTCTTAGAATCCTTGCCTCTGGTACCGCACACGGCTCTCCCTCCTTTTCAGTGGTCCCGTTTCTTTTACGAACCCAGCGGGGAATCTTTACTAGAACTGTGTCCCAACTATGCATCAACAGGCCTTGAGTGGCGCCAAAGGGGCTTTCGTCAGTAGAGTCTGCCTGCTTCAGCGCTAACTGTAACTGGTTGCGGCCTGGCCCCCGGCTCCCATCTGTGCAGGGGTGGGGGGTGTGAGCAAGGTACGCTTCACCACGCCTGTGACAGCGCACAAGGCCATGGGCCCCGGATTCTCCAGGTCCACACTTCTTTTTTTTAAATATTTTTATTTATTTCTAGGAGAGAGAGTCAGCGTGAAGAGGGGAGGGTCAGAGAGAGAGGGAGACACAGACTCTGAAACAGGCTCCAGGCTCTGAGCCGGCAGTCAGCACAGAGCCCGACGCGGGGCTCGAACCCACGAACCTCGAGATCAGGACCTAAGCGAAAGTCGGACGCTTAACCGACTAAGCCACCCAGGAGCCCCTCTCCAGGTCCACACTTTTATGAGATTCTCCAAAGCTGTTGGTTTTACGGGACAGGATCAGTCGGCTGTTCGGTTCAGGGCCACACATGCCTGGTCTCCTGCCCGACGTGGAGGAGGCGCCATCATGCCCCAGCCCCGCCAGTGACACCAGCAAGATGTTCAATCCACAAGGCAGGACCCTTCCAACCGACCTGCTCTCCAGCTGTTCACGGGAGCGGGGGTTGGGTGTGATGCCCATGTGTTAAAGTACCCACTGCCCACTCTCAGAGGGGGACAGCCAGCCAGTGGGCCATCTGCTCCCCACTGGGGAACTCAGGTCCTGGAGAAGAGGGCACCCCTTTCACTGGCTCTACAGACATCCCAGTTAGGGGAGGGCTGACGCCGCTTAGGGAACGCGGCACCTGCTATCAATTCCCGCGAAGGAACAGCGCACCCAGTGCGGCCTCCTCCCCCACGGCTGCAGGATTGATGTATTTTTTTCAGCTGCGATGGAAGCTTTGTAAGAAATAATAGTTGATGGGGTGCCTGGGGGGCTTCGTCGGTTAAGCATCTGACTCCCGATTTCGGTTCCGGTCATGGTTTCAGGGTTCGTGGGATCGAGCCCTGAGTCAAGCCTGCTTGGGATTCTCTTTCCCTCTGCCCCTCCCCCGCTCATATGTACTCTCTTTCTCTCTCAAAATAAACAAACATTAAAAAAAATAAATAATAGTTTGTAAATAGAAGTGTGGTCACCATTTTTAGAAACTTGCTGGTGGTGGAGCTCAGGTAGGGATCTTATCGAACAAAGTCTTCATTTTTCATTCAGAGAAATGAGGCTCAGAGAGGGGAGGTGACCTAGTCAGGGCTGCACAGCAGAAGTGGATGCAGACTCCAGGCCTCTTCACTTCCATCCTGATAGTTTCGTTCTTAAAGCCTAGTGGTTTCCCCCAATTTTTCTGTCTGCCACGTTGTGTGGCTGAAACCTTGGGAGATTGCAATGGAGAAACAGAGAGAAAAGCTGAGTCGCTCTCAGGGATGAGGGAGGGCTGGGCTGCTGGCCCGGAGGGGCCTCTGAGCTGGAAACGCAGCCGTGGGCTCGGCCGGTGGCGCAGGTGAGGGGGCCCTAAGGGCTGGGGAAGGTGCTTGTCTGTGTGAGCCATGGGGTCCTGCCCTCCACCCACTCAAATCACATGTCCTGGTTAAAGTTTACATCCTTGGAAAAATAATGAGGGTTGGTCACTAATGGGCCTTTGAGATTTGTCACCCGCCTGTCTATAATTATAGAGCTTTAATGGGGCTAATTCAGAGAAAATCAGGCTCAAGCCCCTGTCAGTTCTTCTCATGCCAAACATCCCTTTGCTCTGCTGATGGAGACTGACAGCATCATTTTGACCTTGGTTTGCACCTGGACTTTCCTCACCCATACACCCTTGGGGATAGAAATCTGCCCTGGTTGGTCTTTTTTTTTCCTTTTTGAAGAAAAATGTTAAATAGTTTTTAAAAACCATGGCAAGGGGCTCCTGGGTGGCTCAGTCGGTTGAGTGTCTGACTTTGGCTCATGATCTCACAGGTCATGGGTTTGAGCCCTGCGTCAGGCTCTGCGCTGACAGCTTGCTCAGCCTGGAGCCTGCTTCAGATTCTGTCTCCTTCTCTCTCTGTCCCTCCCCCACTTGTCCTCTGTCTCTCAGAAATAAATACATGTTAAAAAGTAAAAATAAAAAACTATTGCAAGATCCACAGGAAAATGGGCAAGCCTGAGTTGAAAGCATTTCCTAGTTGGGGAAACTGAGGCGCTGAGCCGAGCACTGCAGGGGTACAAAGAAGAATGAGCCATAGGCCCCTGCTATGTCTATTCATTCTCCTGCTTTATTCAAAGGTTCGCCACTGCATCCTGGACTCAGTTTAACCTCCTCGGTGTGGCATTCAAGGCCCTCTGTGATATGACCACTTTGCCTCATCATGGGTCTTTTCCCCATACTTCGGCCACTTGACTGTGGCGCCTCTGCTGGGCTGTGTTCCCTACATCTCTCCATCTGTGCACCCGGCACTCCCTCTGCCAGGAGCGCCTCTTTTCTCCTTCCGCCCTGCCAGCATGCTTCTTCCCTTGTCCCAGCCTCAGAGCAGAGCCTTCTCTGCAGGTAAAGTCCGTGTGTGCCGGCGCTTCCCGTGTGGGTCCCTGCCTCCCTGTTGTCACGCTGGGCTACTTGTGCACCTCGGTTTCCACGAAATCTCTCACGTCAGAGGCTGTGTCTCAGGCATTCTTGAATCTCAGCGCCGTGCTGGATCTACAGCCGGTCTCGTAACGCTGAATACATAGAAATATGGTGCGAGCAGACGGTGACTGAGCCCAGAGGAAGGGGACTCACAGCCCGCAGGGACCCGGAAACGCGGCCGGCCGAGGGCCTTGGGGACCGCCCTCCCTGCACTCCATCCTTGCTCCAGGCCTCCGTGGGCATCACTCCTGACCTAGCCCAGGGTGAATCATGCAGGGGCAGGTGTGCGCACGGGCACGTGATGCAAGTGTGGCCAATGACACAGAAGGACAGGTCTCCTGGGGACTCTGGGAGCACTGTCCTCACTCTCGAACTGAGACACGGGCAAGGAAACTCGTCTTTGTCAAATTCAGGATCTTCTTGTTACATGCGACCCCTGCACCTGACGCAGCCACTTTGCGCCAGGAGGGAGGTCAGCCTAGGAAGACAAAAGCGCGGGCAAGTGGGGGGAGGGGGTGGAACCATCACCTGCGAGGCTGCTGCTGAGCCACTGCATAAACCCACCTGGTGTCGCACGCACGATCTCAACTGTCCTCACCGCTCAAGGCACTTTGAGTGTGCTGTTCCCCGCAACCTGCACGTTCTAGTCCTTACAGCTTTGAAGAAGGGCCTGGGTCTCCCCAGGTGGAGAGCGGCGGGGCGGGGGGCATTGGCAGGGGGCAGCGCATGCAGAGGCTGGGCCCGGGGCCCCCCTCGAGGGCAGCAGGCAGCCAAGTCCAGCTTGGCCAGGCCACCCGGTGGACCCGTGGGAGGGAGGCCACTTCTAACTCCAACGTTCACTGCGTTTTCTCCCACCATCGCCCCCTATTAGATCAGTTTGGAACATGTGAATTTTGTGCTTGTGCCTGGAGGTGTCTTAATAAAGCATGAGCTTTAAAGAAAAGGGGGGAAAAGGCTGAATAAATAAACAGCATTTCATTCTCAGCCTTGGACAACAGAGCAACCGCCCTCATTTCTTTCTGTTAGAACAGAGATAATCCAATAATTAGGGCAGCAAATAGCATAACCCTGGCTAAAGCCGTAATGAACCATCTGGCTTGAATCACTTAGGCTTATTCTAGGGATCTGGCTGGTAGAGTCGCGAGGGGGCCTCGGCCTGGGGTATGGGCTGAAGCGTGGTTCCGCCCCAGAGCCTGGTCCCACCACGGGAAGGAGCCAAGATTTCTGTGTTCCCATGCCTGCGACGTTTGCTCGGCCACTGACAGGATCTGCGCCTGGGGCGGGCTTGGAAGGGGACAAGGGGGCCCAAGCTGGCCGTGGCCCGGCCACACGCCCTCCTCCTTCCTCCTTCGCTCTTCTCGGCAGACTGCCTGGTGATATGGGTGTGGCCCGCCCCCAGTTCAGGCTAGCGAGGCTTTGTCCAGGACGGCCTTGAGCCGCCCACCTCAAGTGGGTCTGTCCCCTGCTGGGACACGTGAGCTCCCTGGGGCCCAAGACCCTGTCCTGTGCCCCTCTGGCCCACCCTCTGCCGCTGAAACAGTGCTCAGTGACAGGCTGCTGAGTTGATGGACTGGAGATGGGGCAGCTGGCCTGAGTTCGGGACTTTCGGGCCACCTCCTTGTCTGGGGATTTGGGGAGAGCCCAAAGAAATGACAAGACTTCTCACCTCATAACAGCATGTCATCCAGAGGGCCCTTGGTGGTGCCAGGAGGGTTCCCTGAAGTTCACGGGGAAGCCTGCCCTGCCCACTCACTCCCTTGGCACAGCATGAAAGGCGCTGGAAGGGGAACAGCTTCCTATCCCTTCTTCCAGAGGTGGCTTTGGATTCATGGCGTCCAAAGGGGTGACTTGGGTCCCAGTTAGGGCCTTCGCAGATGCATGGCGAGTAAAGGGGTGCAATTTGCCCAGGGTGCCAGGAGCTGGGCGGTGGGGAAGATCCGAGGCACAGCTTTGAGGGCAATCAACTCTCAGGACCCAGTCTCCCCAAGCTGGCAGGGAAGTGGAGGCAGAGGACGGCTTCCGACGCCCATGCCTGGGGGCAAGGCCTCAATACCCCAGGTTCCCACCAGAGTGCTGTGGGCCAGGCCCACTGAAAGTGCATAGCAGTTTCCTCCCCTTGGAGGCAGGAGGCCCGGCCTCCTCCAGCCTTCTCCTCCTGGGGCCTCCCTAGGTGGGACGGTGAGGGCTCGGCAGCCTCCCCCAGTGGCACTGGTAACCTCCACATTCAGCTTCCAGGAGCACATGTTATGCTTGGGTAAACTCCAGACCCCTGCCTCTAGGCCCTTGTGAGCCCCAAACCAGGCGGGGCCACCTCCGCTGCGCAGCACGCCTGGGGGAATCAGCTGAGCAGGCCTTGGCGAAGCCCTTGAGCGACCCCTGCCCCGAAAGGTCCACATCCCTGGCAGGGCTGGTGTGGCAGGTGTCAGAGTGAGCGGCTGGGACTACCCTAGCGAGCAGCGACGCCCCCCAGCCCCACCCCCGTCTCGCGCCAACCCCTTGAGAACCAGGCGGCGACCTCTTCGGCCTCGGTTTCCCCTCCGGTCGCGGGTTGGGCTCGACAGGCACCCTCAGAGATCGGAAAGGCCAGGAGGCCCCGGGGACGCTGGCGCGTGCCCACTCCCTGCGGCTAGGGCATCAGCCCCGAGGGGAGGAGGCGCGTGCTGGCGGACCCTTCCTGGCGGTGGAAAGCGGGCGTAACAGGTGGGCGAAGGTCGATGGCCGGGGAGAGCTCCGCGGCGGGGTCCACGGACACAGGAGGAAGAACCGCCAAGGTTTTTACAAAGGACAAGCGGCCCCGCGGTCTTCTGGTGCTCGGCCCGGGCGCCTGCAAAGCCGCCGCGCTCTGCGGGCCGCCGGGCCCACTCGGGAGGCCGGCCCGGCCCCAGCCCCGGGCGCGTCCGCCTCCCGCCCCAGCCCGGCCCCTCGGCTGCGGGGCCGGCCCGCAACGGGCTCCCAAGCGGGGAGGACCGCGCGGCAGGCAGCAACTGGTGTCTCCCCGGGGCGCAGCTCCGCCCTTCCCCGGAACAAAAGCCGCCGCCCGCGCCGGAGCTCCCCGCCGGCGGGCCGAGAGGGGGCGCGGCGCGGGCTCGGAGAACCGGGCCCCGGAAATGGGACACCCCCAGGGGGCGCCCCCAAACTTCCCACGTCTCCAGTGCGGGGCAGGGAGGGGTCGGGGCTGCCTCTGCAGGGCGCGCGGAGAGCGCACGGAGAGGGCCAGGGGCCGCCATCGCCGGGGGTGGATGCCGGCGAAAGGAGAGACCGCCGGGGGCCGCGGGCCCCGCGAGGTCGGGGAGCGGGCGAGAGGCCCGTCCGGGGGCGGGGGCGGGAAGTCGGCGAGTTGGAAACTTACTGCAGTCGTCGGATTCGTAGCCGTCGGCGTCCGGCTCGTCCTCGGGCGGCTTGGCGGGCGGCCGAGCCGGGCTGGGGCCGGGGCTAGGGCCCGGGCTGGCGCCGTAGGCTCCGAAGAGCTGGTCGACATCCTCGTCGTCGTCGCGGGCGCCGTCGGAGGGGCTGCGGCGGCCCGCGCTGGCCGCGGCGGGGCGCGCGGGGGCGTCCGGGGGCGCAGCGGCGCGGGGCCTGGCGTCCGGGGGCAGGCCCCGCGGGAAGCGGGGGAAGTAGTCGGAGATCTGCTTGATGGGCCGGATGGGGCCGGGGCACACGTCGATGGCCATATGCTCCTGGATGCTGATGGTCGCCTTCTCCCCGCGCCGCCGGAGGGTCATGCAGGCAGCGCGGTCCCGCCCGGGCGCGGCCCGGCCCGGCGCGGCCCCGGCCCGGGGGTTTGGTGGGGGGGAACGGCTCGGCAGGCCCGGCGGGGCGCGGCGAGGGCTGCGGGAATCGCCGGCGGCGCCCCCGGACGGCCCTGACGCGGCTGCTGCCTGCTCGGCGGCGGCCGGCGAGTGAGTGCCAGGGGCCGGCAGGCGGGGGGCGGGCCCAGCCCGCGTCACCCGGCAGCAGCCAAGCAGTGTGAGTGTGCGGGCTGCGCGGGCGGGCGCGGAGCAGAGCGAGCAGAGCGAACGGCGCCGCACTCACTCGCGCTGGCACCGGCGCGCGCACACCCGCGGGCCCCGGGCGCCTTCCCCTCGTGCACACGGGCAGGACCGCCGGGAAGCTGAGCCGGGAGCCGCAGGACGCACACTCGCACACTCCCGCTCATCCCGGCCCTTGCTGGGTTCCGTTCACTCCCACAGGACACACGCGGGTGTGCCAAGTCACTCTGAGCACAGAGGAGCGTGTGCAGACGCTGGGCAGAAGCGTCCACTGGCTCACACCTGCAGGACACATCCGCAAACGTATGCACCCATATAGAGTTGGCTGCGGGTGCCGTTCGCCCCGCTGCACGCCTGTCTAACAGGACACACACACACACACACACACACACACACACACGGAAGTGATGGGGGCCTCGCGTCATCCCCCTACACCCCCACGGAGCGGGACACACAGCCACGCTCCTGGGAATGTGGGGCTAGGTTGCTCACACACGGGTAGGACATGTTCATCCTCAGTGGTCCAAGGTCATTGCCGTTCACAATTCCTCTCAGGTCGCATACAAACACACACTCCCTGTAACCCTGAGTCAGTCCCTCACTTGGTTGGTGACTTGTTTGAGGAACCCGCACCCCTCTCCCCATGGCGACAGGCTGGGTGAGGACCTTGACCACAGACTGGTCCGGAGTGGGGCGGGCAGACAGGCCTGGGCAGAAGACACCTGCCCAGGGGGTGATGGATGAGGCAGGGCGTGGCCTGCCCACCTGCTCAGGCCTCCCGTGGTCACATAACCAAACAAATCTTAGCAGCCCAGCCCAGGGCTTTCCGGGAACAGAGCTCTGTTGGGAATGGCTGCTGCTTATACAGGTGTGTCTCCAGAAAGCCCTGGGCCTGGACAGAATCCTGTGTATGGCCTGGTTTCTGACATATCAGAAATGCTTATCTTCTTGGCTGGGTCCCTTCCGTGAGTCTGAATGGGGAGGGCCCCAAGCCTGTGTCCCTCCCTCCACCATAACCCCTTGAAAGAGGGGGGGACAGAGAGAAGAGAGAGGACGCCCTTTCTCATCATGTCCAGCTGCTACCTTCTGACAGATCATTTGATCTTTGTGAACCTCAGTTTCCTCATCTGTGAAATGGCGCTAATTCCAACCTCACAGCATTATGGTGAGGCCCCTTCTAGCATAGAACATGATGGATCAGAGGTGCCCAATAGGGTTGGCTTTCTCTTCTCCCTTCCCTTGGGAGACAAGACTCACTGGTGAAACATGATGGAGAACCATATGCTGTTTTGTGGGAAGTTCGCACTGGGTGGGGATAGTCGGTATGACTGTATCAAGAACACTTACAGCTGTCATTGCTTTGATTCCTTACATTACCCCATGGTGTAGACGGGGCATCCTGTTACCATGCTCAGGCGAGGAAATTAAAGCTCAGGGACGATGGCTTTCCCACAGCGACTGCTGGCTTGTAGCAGAGCTGGGATTAGAACCTAGGTGTTCTGACTTTTTTAAAACTTCCATGCCCCCCTCCTCTGTCTCTTCCCCTCCACCCCTACGAAGCTTGGGGGGTCAGAGCAGAGCTGGAAACACAGGTTCAACCTCGTTTCCCAGAGCTCCTCCTTAGCTTCTGGGATGGAGACAGCCCAAATTCAGCCCAAATTCAATAGCAGCTGGACGTGAGGAAGGGGAGGGGAAGAGAGAGGCAGCCACAGCCTCAGTGTTTACCATGGGAATGAACTGGCCTGGAGGCTCCCTAAGGACAATCTGGGAACCTGGTGGGAGAAAAATTCAACCTTCCAAGAATCAGAGGCCGAGGGAAGGCCAGGAGAGCCTGGAAGCCTAATACAGTGGGTTTCTCATTTCTGGGAATGCTTAAGGGGATTAGTCCTTAAATAGGCACCGAGTGACTTCCGTGCCAGAGGTGGCTGCATCACGAAGTGATTATGTAACGATACGGGTATTAAATACAGACACTGAGCCATCATTTCATAATTCCTTCACTTGAGGAGAAAGAGAGTATTGTCATCTGTTTATGTTTGGGGAAACTGAGGCTTCGGGAAGTCAAGTGTCTGGGAATGAGGGTGGATATCCTGACCCCTGACCCTGGGCCCTTTTGACATCAAACGTATACCCCTGTGTTCCCTGGGAGTGGGGACAGAAGGGGGCTGACCTCTCCCTCTGGCCTCTTGACCTTCAGTGGGGCTGGCTTTTAGGGGGATCAGCACACAGCTTTTGGCTCTGCAAGTGCTGGCTCTCGGAGAGTCTGGAAGTCGGGTGGAAGGCGCAGCCTCCAAAGCCCTGAGGCGGGGAACCCTGGGATGTCTGTTGGAGAAACAGGAGGAGTGTGTGAGGCCACCCTCTGGCAGGTGGCAGAGTGGAGAGCCACTCCGCAGTCTGAGTGCAGCCAGCTAGGAGCCCCACCGAGAAAGGGCAGGTGCCCCTGGAGGCACAGAATGGGTGTTATCTGGGCAGGTGTCCATTTTTCTACGAGGAATATGGGCTGGGGAGTCAGGCAATTTTGGATTCAAAAGCCAGTGTCTCCTAGCTCCTAACCGTGTCTGACTTTGGTCAAGCTGCTTAACTTAGGCCCCTCAGCGGTGGAATGGGGGAGGCCACGGACAAGTTTGTGAGACATGCTGAGGCGGATGGACGGCACGCAACAGGCACTCAATCCGTTGTCATTCTTTTGCGCCCGCCCTGCCGGTGCAAACCATCTCCATATGCCCTGTGCCTGCCTCAGTTTCTCCACCAGTGGAATGCAGTTGGCCGCCCTCTTCCCATCTGCTGTGGGACCAGGTGAGGCCACGGGAGGAAGTGCAGGGGGAGGCGAAGGTACTTGCTGGCTGGCATGAATGGGATCTTGAAGCGGCTGGGCACGGCCAGACCCCATCATTCGGGTTGCCTTCCATGCCGGCCGCTGGACCAGCCCTTAGCAAAGTTAGGTGGGACCGTCTGCCCTTGGTCCCCATCTGCTTCTCCCAACCCACTTCTGAGCCCCCCCGCCCCCCCAAAGGCCCTGTGCAATGAAGTAGAAGTGGGTTCCTTGAAGGATAGCCCGCCCATCTGTACCAGCAGGATGCATATTAATAACGCAGATTCCACACCCTTCACACCCCCCGATCAGATATGCACGTACGTGAAGACTCAGGATGCATCTTAACAAGCGCCCCTGGATTCTTTTTATTCCCAGTGGTTTTAATGAGAATCACTGGGTGAGAAGGTGCTAGGGTTTAATCCAGTGATTCTCAACCTGGTTTGCTACCTCCACCTCCACCTCCACACTGTTCACTGTGTAACATCAGGCGGGGGTGGGCGTTGGAATTTCTAGAGTGCTTTGGCGAAGTCCCACACACACCACTCTGGGCGTTAGGACTTCTTTCCTGGCTGAGAATGACCAGTTAAAGCCTTTCCTTCCAGTAGGCAACAGGCGTTTTAGAGGAAATGACTCGGCACTTGGCCAGATGTCCTTGGTTGGCATCTCTGTCTGGTATCCACGTGGCTTGGAAGGAAGGGCCCTCCCTGGCCCTGGCCTAATGTGTACCTCCAATTTCTACTCTCCTCTGATTACTGGAGGAGAAGGTTGTGCTAAAAGAACCCTCTTTATATTCATAGGAATTTTTCTTACCCGAAGGAGGGGCTGATGGAGGAGTTCTAAGCACCGTGGCTGGTTGACAGAGAGGCCTTCGAGGGAGCTCCCTAGAATCCATACTTTAACAAGTATTTATTGAGCACCCACTCTGTGACAGGCCCCGTGCTACGTTCTGCAGGGGCCCTGGTGATGAACGAACCCCTCCCCTTTTCTTTAGATTCCAGTGATGGAGGGCAGATCCTCTCCGGCCAATTGCTGCCTCCTCCTTGCCCCATGCAGTGGCCTCGGCACAAGAAGCCTGGTGCAAGGTGAGTAAGCGAGTCACTGGAAGTGTTTGCAGTTGTAGCCTGTGGCTGCTGAGGGGTGAACTTGATGTGATAATTTATTATGCACATCCTCATAAACACATGACACTTGTTACAGTACATTTACCAGGGCTAGGTCCACCGTGGGGAAAAGTTAGCACCCGATGGTGTCGTTTGGCACACGCCAAACCCTCTTGGAGCTGTCGTGATGGGCTACGTGGCCTAGAGGCGCTGATGGTCTTCCTCTGCCGGGACGCCTGTGCAGTGGTGTGCAGGCCACAGATCCGTGAGCCCCTCGGCCACCCGCCCCGATTGCCCCAGGTGTGCAAACAGCCTTGTGGACACGGAGGACCTGGTCCAACGTCACAAGGGGCCGAGCCAGGACTCGTACTCACACAGTCCTTCCAAGCAGGGCGTGGTCTGTGCTGCCTGATGGTGGGAAGGAGGCCTAGTGAGAGGCTAACCGGCCAGGAGGGGCTTAGCCTGGGATCAAGCTGCCTCTGGCAAGAGATTCGATGCCAGCAAAGGATAACGCTGAAGCCTCACGGGTCGCTCCAGAAATGACCTGCTGGAGGACAAGGGGCTTGTCTGAATGTCTTTAGGATTGGGGTGACTCTCTCGGCATTACAGTAGGTTAGAATGGGCGGAGCCCTCGCTGGCAATTTTGAAACCCAGGTCAACAGCCACAAATGTTCCCTCAAACAGCTTTCTATTAATGATGCAATGCAAAAGCCATTAACAGTGCAAACGGTGGCTTCCAATTTTCATTCTACTTTTAAAATGTGTGAAATAGTTCAGTCATACACAAAAGGCCTTAGAGTATAATGTAAAGACTGCCT